TTTAATGTTTTAGAATAGTAGGACATTTTAGGACTTTATCCTTGCACTATTTTTATAATTTTACTATTATGTAATGTGGTGCCGAATTATCTGGACACCTAGTGGGTAGCGTTACCGATGCACGTTCGGCTGCGCGCATTCTGCGTGCACGCGTTACTATGAGAACCGCGATCGGCATTTGTTTGCTTCTTCGCGGGAAAAAGCGTAGATTGCGTACCACGACGTCGTTGTAAAAAGATCGCGCGGCATCGGCTCCATTGTTTCATATCCCGCGGATACTTATTATTGCTTTTCCAAATTATTTTATCATTAAACCTTTCTTTGTTTAACACAATCGTGTTTACATTTATTTTTATCTTACATGTAATTTTATTGTCTGACAATGATTCATTCTAACGGTTTTACTACAGTAATTTCACTGCACGTAGTAGAGTGGAATAATCGAATATTGGAATATTAGTAAAACAGTAGAATAGTAGTATAGTGAAATAGTAAAACGTGGCACAATAATAAAAAAATACAAGATCAATATAATAGTAAAATCATGAAACAGTAAAATGATAGAATTGTAAAATTCTAAAATAGTAGCACTATAAAATAGAAATGCAGTAAAACAACAGAATGGTGATGTGGTTAACAAAGCAAAGTTAATAATAAAATGATGGAACGGCGAAATAACAGAATAATAATATACTAGAACAGTAGAATTATCAAGTAGTAGAACTGCAAAATAGTAGAAAAGATAACAGTAAAATAGCAAAATAATAGAACAGTAGAAGTGTAGAATAATGAACTAGCAGAAGAGTAAAATAGTAGAGTCATAAAATAATGAAATCGTATGATGGGCGACAGTAGTAGAACAGTACATAAATAACATATTAAAACAGAACAATAGAAAAATAATACAGTAAAAATATAATAAAATAATAGAATATTAATGTAGTGAAGTAGCAGAATTGAATAGTGGTATAATAGTATAATAGTAGTACAGTGGAATCTTAGAGAAGAATGGAAAAGTGGAACGATAGCATAGTATATAGCACAAGGGTAGAACGCTAGAATGGTAGAATGGTAGAATGGTAGAATGGTAGAATGGTAGAATGGTAGAATGGTAGAATAGTGGTTATCACAATACCAGAATAGTGAAGCAGTAAAATATTAAAATAGTGAAATAGTGAGATAGTGAAATAGCGAAATAGTGAAACAGTGAAATAGCGAAATAGCGAAATAGTGGAATAGCGAAATAGTGAAATAGCGAAACAGTGAAATAGTGAAATACAAAAATAGTGGAATAGTGGAATAGCGAAATAGTAAACTTGTGAAATAGTAAACTAGTGAAATAGTAAACTAGTAAAGCAGTAAAACAGTAAAACAGTAAAACAGTAAAATAGTAAAATAGTAAAGTAATAGAACAGTGAAATAATAAAATAGTAAAATACGAAAATAATTCAATACTAAAATAATAAATTTGTAAAACAGTAAAATTCTAAAATTCAAGAATTTCATCCGTCCTTTCAAAAATAAATGCAACCATATACACTGATTAATACTACTCTCCTAACCAGAATATTTACTGACTTCCTAATTGGAAATTAAAACAATAAATTCCCAAATGAATACAGTCTTCAATAACTCACATTATTCATTCAAACACGCGTGACAAACAAAACAATTAAATCATGTACCTTCTAACATTTCTGTTTTTAATTAGCAGATATTGTTTCTCCGACCTTTTTTCATCCGACTTGTTCGTAAAACAAAGCACTGCAAATACGATGTTGCAGACGATACTCGTTCCAAAGGCAAAAAATTGCAGCAGAACACAACGGCAAAATCATTGCAGAAAATTCAACGTTTCACGCAAAATACCAGCATTATTTCTGTTTGGATAAAAGCGAGATTAAGTTCGTGTTTTAATTATTCAAGCCTGTTGAAGGTTTTGCGTATGACTTCAGTAGAATGAGTCATTCTATGTCAGACCGTCTCTTATGTGGAAGTAGTAAAGTCTATATTAGTTTCGCAACGCAATGTTTGCGTCACGCAACGTTGCACATGTGCTACAACTTTACAGCTTTCATTTCAGAAACGACCACTGTGTTTTCGAATATATTGTGGGGAGGGATCTGCTGTAATTGCTTGCTTCTTTATTCAACAATCAATATGTTCTACATTCGAGAAATATCAGCTCTACGTACGAATAGTTTGCATTTTCCGCCGAAGTCACCATTCATTTTTAATAAAACCGTTCTGTAGAATTCGTTGCTATTTGCAGTATATGTATTCAATACAGAGTTCTATAGTCCTAGTTCTATTTTTCAGCATAAAAATTTCGGTCATATAAAATTTTAAAATGGTTTCTGATACGAAAAAAATATATCAGCACTTTGTGAATTATGTACGCAAGTGATGACGAACACTCAGGAACGATTGTTTCAATCTTTCAAAGTTATTTAAACATCGTTTTGACTTTTAAATGAAGTACCATTTTTATAACGTGATAGAAAAAAGAAACAGTAAGCTCAGATCAATATTTTCAAACAATTTTTTTAATTTTAAGGCACACTAATTTTACTTGCATTATTTATAGAATGTATTCGAATATAGAAACAAGAAGATGTGAGTATCATTGAAATATGAAAATAAAAATAAAAATATATGATACTAAAACTAATAGTAGACTTTTATCAAAATATAATAAGAAATGTGGTAGTTAGTGGTTTATTACTATTCTTTCCTTGCTTTACTTTAGTTTGTAATTTTTTTTATTCTGTCATTTTGAATCATATATCGTTTCATCTCCTAGCTTACGAAAGTGTATATGATAGAGAAGACTATTACTCACTTTCCTCACTATTGACTTTAAAATGCTAAGAACTACTCAAAATCTTCCATTCTTTCTTATCCTCCATTTCTCACTGACATTTCTTTATGAACTTTCTAAATGAACTGGGATTTGATTGCCAAATACGCTGCTCGTACTTTACGAGAAAAATGATAGAATCTTCTACGCAATCTCTGAAATGAATAATAATTTTATACAGGTTTTATAACGTATAAAATGATAAGATGTTTTAAGGAAATTCACTACCTTGACAGTTGAAAAAATTTAAGTACTTTTCTTCTTTTTGAGATTTTAAGTATGTAAAAGAATTTTTAAAGAATTTAGTAGTTTGAACATTTAGAAATTTGGAAATTTGGAAATTTGGAAATTCGGAAATTCGGAAATTCGGAAATTCGGAAATTCAGAAATTCCGAAATTTGGAAATTTAGAAATTCAGAGATTCGCAATTATCAAAATCTTCAATTTAAAAGTTAACAAGCTATAAATATTAGAAAATTACAAATTTAATAATTCACAAATTTAGAAAATGGAAATTTACAAATTTACAAATGCAGAAATTTACAAATACAGAAATCTCGAACGTTTAAGTTCAGAAAATTAAAAATTTCCTAATTTTTAAAATTTAGCAATTCATGAATTGGAGATCATACATTTCCGAACTGACTAATTTTATAAATTTCAAACTGAAAAACTTATCAGTTCTCATCCCTATTTTACATATTATACGATCTCCTTCCAATATCAATTATGAAATTTCTTAAATACATTCAACATTAAATACATTTTGCTAAAAAGTTCCTCTTTAAACTGTCATAATAACTAACATATCTAAAAAGTCCTGTGGCACACTGCAGATTCTAGAGTTTTATTTATAAACTGAAAGGAATTTTCAATTTAGGGCGTCCCAGTTTTCGCCAACAATGTCGGTCAGCAATCAATATTGTATCAAATGATGTTTCAAAACTAGCGAATAATTTTGCAGGTTTATTACATTTTTAGTTTATAAAATCTGGGTTACAAAAAGGAAAGAACATTCTTGTTTCATAAAAAGGAACTGAAAATTTTACTTTTGTTAGATGAAAATCAAAATCCTATGTTTTATCTATTTTTGAGCAAAAATGAATAGAAATGATTTGTACATTGGAATAGAAATGGCAGAATATCTTTAAGGAAAATTTAAATAATCACTGCAGGTAATTTCTATACATATTTTATTTATTTTAGTGTACGAAGAATTGTATTCATAAGAGCACTAGTTTCAATATTTTCAATTCTTTCTACAAATTATCTCTCAATATGGAATTTACCATATTAATATTATTACTTCTCACATCATAATTCACATTAAAAAATATTATAATTCTCCGTAAAACACGCGATGCTCATCGCAAAGTTATTGAGATTAACTTTATTCGTACCGTATATTTTTATGTCAAATGACAAACTTAAAAAAATTACGCAAATTTAATACGGATCATCCTAGTATTTTAATTCCGCCCAGCTGTTTTTGCAGTACGGTTAAATCCGTACTTAACACTAAAACTACCAAAGCTATCCAACGACCGTTTTACAAACTCCTTATTTTAAGTTATAAAAATCTCGGTGGTTTTCTTGAAATATGCGTTGATACAGATTTAATATGCACATTAATTTCTATCTTATCGTTCATTTATATCTCAACTTCATTTTTAATTTTAAAGCACACACGCCGGTACGTTTAGGTTAAAAATTAAGCAAATTTAATGTATATCATCCTGGTATTTTAATTCCGTAAATCATTTTGAGGAGTTACGTAAATGTAGTGATAATCAAAAAGCTTATACATCTTGAATAATTGCTGTTTCGAACGTTTCGATTATGATAATTAAGTAGTTAATTTTATTGCAATTAAAATCCATGTCATGCTTCAATTTGGGTTATAAAAAATTAAGTACTGTTTTAATACAGCTTGTCCTAATATTTTAATTTCGTAAATCATTCTGAGAAGTTACGTAAATTTAATTATAATCAAAAAGCTTTTACATCTTGAATAATCGCTGTTTCCGCCGTTTCGACAACGATAATCAAGTAGTTAATGGTATTGCAATTAAAATCCTCGCCACGATTCATCGATTAACGAAACGTTTCCTGTTTTATTTCACTTCGTTTTCCGTTTCAGGTTTTTCTCTTGGATGGACGGCCGAAGGCGATCACAACAAGAAAGTTTGCCACGCGGAAACTCGTTGCGGATTGTACATAGTTTTGAACCAATCGAACCCAGCCTGTTTACCGGAATTCGACGTGTTAATTTACGAACTTTTGTTCGAACGAGCAGACGAAGAATGCCCTTGCGCCTCGCCCCGAGCTCTAGATATTGATCCTTGTAACTCGTGCTCATCACCAAAACCATCAATATTTTATTTGCGGCTGGTGAACGAACGTTCTTGCCATTTCTGTTCTACTTCGTAGCGTGACTACAGACGCTTCAAGAATACTATGTATTTTTGCGTAACATTTTTACTTAACCGTAATTCTATGTGTTTGCAACCATGAATGATGAGGCGTGGAAGTAAACTTCATAGGAAACACGTGGTACAACTATGACAGACTTTTGGAACAAGTGAAAATTAGTTCTGAATGCTATTTTTTAATTATTGTCAAATACTGTTACGTTCTATTTCTTCAAATTCTACAATTTTAAATTACAACAAAGAATAGTAACATATCATTTATGAATTTCAAAAGATTGTCAAAGGACACCAAAATTATTACTGTACATATTTATATTAAAACTGTTACAAGTTTTTCGAAAACTGTTATGCACAAGTTTATCAAAAACTTAAACAACACTTAAAACTTGTGCAGTTTATTAAAACTGTCAAAGCTTATCAAAAACTATTAACCATAATGTTATGAAAAACGTAAACTTACCAAAAACTGTTAAACTTAAGCTCATTAAATATAAGCTTATTAAGACCTGCTAATAAACTTATTTAAAACTATTATACATAAGTTCCCTGCAAAAGTATCTAAATGTAACCAAAATGCAGAGGACAGAATTAACATTTCAACAGTTAATTCGACAAGTACATAATTTGTGACAGCGTGTTACGAAAGTAAAATTGTCAAGAAACTATTTAAAAAAGTTGTTCGATCTGATGATTGTAAGTTCGTTTGAAAATTGTTCAGTGTCACCTGCAACCCTGATAAAAACTTGGCCCCCTCTGTAACGGGATTTGAGCAAGCGAGTTCAACGTAGAAGCATGGAGCAATTCGAGGCTTGAATTTAACGACGAAGCAGTCGACCGTATAATTAACAAAGAATTTAGTTCAAAGAGGAAAATGTAGAACGACGAGGACCGTTGAAGAGTCGGGCATGAACTACTCATACATCTCCCCCTTACTCTCCTTTTATTCTTCATCACCCCCCTACCCAGACACGTGTACTTTCGTTGAAAAAGAGAAAGAAAGGAGAAAAAAAAGGTCTCACCATTCTTCGTTCGCACCCTCTTTTAATTAATATCCACGTGTTCCCGCGAACACTCGCTGCTAATGATACTAATCGATTTCGAGCAAGATGACACTGCGGGTTGTCCGAAATATTTCATCAAGCTACCCACTGCGTATCTCTGTTCTTTTAACTGTTATGATTTGTTGAGAACTTTAGGAAATGTTTGATTATAAATTGATTTTTTTAATTACTTGATAATTAACTCTTTGTACTTAAAGATATTTTTGCTGTTGCAAGATGAATGTGAGTCACCTTCCAAGTGTAAAGGGTTAATATTTGTTAATTATTTGATACGTCTTTGGGGGGATAAGAGGATGAAATGAGATTATTTTTAATGATGTTGAAAATTAGAGTTTTCGGGATACGTGGTGGTTGGTAAATCAGAAATTTGAGAATTTAAGGATTTAAAGATTTCGAAAAGTAAAAAACTTGAGAATTTAGGAATTTAGAAACCAAAAAGTTGAAGAATTGAAAAGTTGAAGAATTGAAAAATTGAAAAATTGAAGAATTGAAGAATTGAAGAATTGAAAAATGGAAGAATGGAAGAATTGAAGAATTGAAAAACTGGAAAACTGAAAAAACCGAAAAACTGGAAAATTGAAAAACCGAAAAACTGAAAAATTGATAAACTGAAGAATTGAAGAATTGAAGAATTGAAGGACTGAAAAACTGGAATACTGAAAAACTGAAAAATTGAAGAACTGGAAAACTGAAAAATCGAAAAACTGAAAAATTGAAGAATTGAAGAATTGAAGAATTGAAAAATTGAAGAATTGAAGAATTGAAAAATGGAAAAAGTTGAAGAATTGAAAAATTGAATGCCTGTAGATTAAACCATTTGCATTTATCCTATATAAAATTTCATATTTTCAACATTTTAAATATTCTAATCCCTAATCTCCCAAATTACGACAATCTCTAAATTTCAATCTTTCAAAAAGTGATATTCCTATATTTGTAAATTTCAAAATTTTCAAATTTTTAAATGCTTAAGATGTATTTAACTACATTAATTTATTTATCTGTACTATATCAATTTCGAGCTTATAACTCAATAAAATTGACCAGATAAATGTAACAATATATTAATATTCTTAACACAAAACCTCTGTCGGCCACTTGTTGCAAGCAATAATCGATACGCATAAAGTTTAATACAATTTTGTGGCTACAAAACAATATTTATGATACATCAATATAGGGCGAATAGTTTGATAAAAATGCTTTCACGCATATTTCGTCAATATTTTTGATACAACTGGTTAGTTTTTTATTAGAGCTCGCACACCTGTACGCACGTGGTCGATACTTTATCACGATAGAATAACGTTTTATCAACCGAATCGTCCAAAACGTGAATAATTATTCGGGTATGAATAAACATAGTAAACTGAATATTTATGTTCTTAATCCAGAAGCAAAATACGGAAACGTAACATTTTTTTTAATTTGAAAATCACACGTACGAATGTACGAATCACAGTACACACAGGTTGTTCCGTTTAAATGAATAATTGATTTGAGAAGGAAAGATAGCGGCTCCTGTTAAAAATTTCAATTTCATTTCTGCACGGTAACCTTTCTGTCAGCCCAGAAATTATAGCGAGATTCGAGAGTTAAAATCCCAATTTTGATACCTGAATCAAATTTCTGTGAAATTAATCGGATTAAAAAGATTTTTCGCTAACCAAGCAACTGCGTGTTTCGACGAACTCGCCGAATAAATTATTTCGATCTTTAAGCTTCTTAACACTGGAAGCACACCAGTCAAAATGACTGGTTCTGCAATTTCACTTTAAAACTCTTACTTCATGTTACAATTTTTTTCGCAATGCGATGACGTTTGCAGCGATAACTAAAGGTGTAATGTAATGAATTTTATTTTTGTTTCATTTATTCAACATCAAAATAATTTTGTATCGTGGCTACTTATACCAATACCAGTCATTTTGACCGGTACTTCTCAAAGTGGAAAAGTATTCTACAATTCGTTTACCGAACCCGAAATCGTTTAGTAGATATATAGATAGATTTTTCGATGTTTTCTTAGGAATTTTTAACGCGCATCTTATAAGACGCCACAACATGAGCATAAACATGGCAGCGATGTAGCGTATCATAGTCATCGATGTTTCACGCGGTCATTTCGTACACCATAGTCGTTGAAACAGGAGATAATTCTGCTTTATATAACGTTATTTTACAAGCCCTAAAAACGGTGAGACGATTGAAAATCTCTGAATTGTTGCAAAACGTGATGAATATACCAATGGTTGCTTTGATATCGAGGATGGTGAATGGTACGAACATGAAAGTGAATCAGAACAAAATGAAATTGAACTTTATAGTGAGAATGAGATAGACAAAGAAAGTGTTCTGGAGTCCTCGGAAAATGAATTAGAAAATATTTGGAATTTACGTAAAAATAGTGCTTGTGTGCTTTCAAGTTCTGAAAACGAAAATAAAAGTATGGATCATCAAAATGAAATTGCTCCAGTTGGTAAAAATAAAAGGGTCCAATTATATTACTGTAGTAATAGCTGTAATTATACAGTAGTTATAATTCCATAAAATGAAATTCCTTATAGAAGATAACAGATCAATAAACATAAAAATATTTTATTATGTATTTTGTAAAGACCAGACATTTTGACTGGATTTTGATAGAAATAGCTTTGTCTTAAAAATAGTACTATTATTCTGACTTTTTTATAAGACCATTTTGACTAGATTTGGTAGAAATAACTCCATCTTAACCATTGCTAGTTCTAGTGTTAAACGTAAATGGCTAGGTGCAATTTAGTTTTGCATTCTTTTTATCCAGCAAGCACGTATCGCGAATTTCGTTTTAGGAATTGTATCAGCCAACAGCACGTGAAATCGGCGACTGCTCCTAAAAATGTCGTCGGGAATTAATCGCTCGCCAAGGCGAAACAATAATCGCGACACTTGTTCTTGTTTTAAGATAGACGATTGTTGGAATTCTCTCGCTGCGTTCCCTGGAAAGAACAATTGTTCATAGATTGCCTTTACGGCTGTGCGAAACATAAATAACCTTTCAACGGAACGGGAAAACATAATGTTCATTACGAATAGGAGATTTTTAGATATAGGTAATTTATTAGAACTAACGACAATAGTTTATGTTTCTGCAGTAGACAAAGTTGGTTTACTAGAAAACAAATTTTTCTTGTTTCGAAGAAATTTTAATTAGTTCTGTGGCATTTTGTCTGAAAAACATGTTTTTTAGATGTAAGCAATTATAAATGATGCTGTTATATTGCAACACACGACATAGCTGTTAATATAATAGAAATGGTCATTCCAGACATTTAGAGTCCACATACTTTACACGTTCAAGCATTTAAAAATTGTTAATTTTAAATTTGAAGATTTGAGTATTTGGAGAATTCTACATTATAAAATTGAGACTCACTAATTTTGAAGATATAATTAATTGCTAAGTCGGGGAATTTTTACAATGCTAAATTAGTAAATTTTGTAAATTTGTAGATCTATAGATTTGTAGATTTGGAGATTTGGAGATTTAGAGATTTGTAGATTGTAAAATTTTAAATTTATAGATTTGTAGATTTGTAAACTTGCAAATTTAGAAATTTAGAAATTTTTGAAATTTAAAAAATGTAGACATTTATAAACTCATAATCTTGTGAATTTGTAAATTTGTGAATATGCACATTTGTAAACCCATCCATTCCAAAACTAAAAATTTTTTAAACTTGAAAATATCGAAATTTCTAAAATAAAAATTTCCAAACTGTGATTATCGATTCCCTCTAAATTCATTAAATAAAAACTTATACGAAGAAATAATCGTACACTCTATAAATTATTATAGCAAAATATATTTGTTCGGGTGTAAAACTATTACACGTAAAACGCCCAAGTAAAGTCAATCAGACAGCACTAACTTCTGCACATTCCACTGCAGAAATTATCGTTGCATTAAAATTAATTGAATCCCTATACTGTTAACAGCTTTAAGGTTCATTAAGGAACAAAAGGAAGATATCGACACGCCTCTAAAGAAGCCGTTCCATGAATTAGCTTTCATTAACATCGATTTATTAGCTGCTAATTGCGAGGAAAGCTCCTATTGAGTTCAGTTACCTTCAAAGATGTCTTTGTATTATTGTAATTAACAGAACTGCATATACTTTCTTTTATCACTTCATACTTTTAACTTCTGTACATAGAAAGCTATAACACATACAAAGTATGCTACTTACAGCAATAAATTTAAGCAATTTATCAATTTCAATGCCTTCTTTAGTTATAACACGTTCTCACTTTTTAAAAATGAAATAAGAAGCGATGAAATAAAATGAAGCCTTAATTTTTTAAGTAAAGATGAAGGAACTATTTTAACTATCTTTATACACCTGTAAAGTGATAGTTAAACTACAACATTTTAGAAAATAATTCATAATTTTACTTGGTAATAATAATTAAATAAAATAATAACTTTTTATAGTTTCAGTACTACAACTTCCAAATTACATATTTGACCGATTCACGAGTTTATTTTAAATTATAAAATTCAAGATACTTTTTTTGACATTTTTGTTGTTTTTTATCGAAATAAGGAATTAATGAGTACATTAAATTATATTTAATCGTTTGTTTATTAATCACTGTATTTTATTTTTAATTTCAAATGTGCGCATTACACAATGCACTACATAAATACCAACCCCACATATTTTCAATGATATGAAATTTCAATAATTCTGGTCAGAATTTCTTAAATACTAATTCGTAGTCGGTGAACAATAAGTTATGTAAATTATGTAAATTGACTCAAAGAACTCAGATTACTAAAAATCAAAGGATTATTGTATTTATTCACATTGTACGCTTATTAGCGTTAAACTGCACCTCACATAAGAAAGTAGAAAAATAAACAGCGAACTAGAAACTTCAACTTAAATCACAAAAATTAAATTTAAGGAACCTTAAGTACTATAGAATAAACGGCCTAAAAGTTAATTATACACCTCTATTTCCAAAATTACTTTTAACATCGTTAAAGTAAATAAAAAGAAACAGCTAGTTATTAAACCTTACACTTCCGGTCATAGAGAGAAGAATTTTTCCGAGGTTCCAGAAGAGTTTCACAAGAAAAAGTGTATACATGAATGAAAATGCTGAAAGAAGCCGAGCTCAAATAACAAATTAACTGATTCGAAGTTGTAAACGAGCTTCAAGAACGCTACCACCATTTGTTCCTGACACCCTTCGCAAACTACCCCCGTCTTCTACGGCACTGATAAGAATAATTGAACATGAAATCTCTGTTACGTGAAACGAACACGAACCGACTTTTCTCCACTCCTTATTCTCATTTTTCAATCGCTTAAACGTGCAATTACTTGATTCGTTTGATGTAAAACGAGCGTACACGATACACTCTCCGGAATATAGAATGTTTAATGAAAGAACTGTGTAAACATCGTTTAATCAATGTTAAAGTAAATGTTAATCATGTAACACTGTAACTATCTGAAGGGAAACTTCGATCGTTTACTCTGAAAATTGAAACTGTACAGGTTTTGCAGACGTTTCATCTTTCAAAACTGAGTAGAACTGCAAGAAAATATTCAATTGGAGTATTGAGAATCAGAGCTGAATCAGCTCTTCGTTGAACAATTCTTTAATTATGATGGAAGATTTTTACACTGTTACAAATGATTCTAAGAATGTAGTAAACGATTAAAAATGTAAGCCACATTTATTCAAAACCAAAGGTGCTGTCAATAATACACTTGATACATAATACACTTGACAAATTCAGTTCTTCCTGTTATCTCACATTTCAGCTATTACAATAAAAATTTCTATCAAAATCATAAAGCCAAACTTTTGAGTAGTTTTCCCACTGTAGATCCCCAAATCCCGACCTAATCCTTCAAATGTGTAAAGATTGAAAACTCCAAATACAGAAATGAACGACCTTATCCCTCGATTAGTTTCTCCCCCCGATATATTTTCCATGGCGCCATGTTTGTTCTCGACCGTGCTTGACAAGCAAGACCTCATCCCTCGATTGAATACACGTGTCTTCGACAAGTCCCTCCGAGGTCCCGCGGAAACGCGAGCGGATATCGAAGCTCCGCTCGTATCCTTGCGGAATTGGCCGGAGGCGGGCAGCTCGCGTGTAACGCGGAACAAGAATGAGACACTCGCGTATAACGTTAAGAGTGCTGGATGAATTTCATCCAACGGGCTGCTGCGTGTTTCTCTACCACGGCACAAAGCAACCCCCGACGGCGTTAGTTCATCTAAGCGTCGTGTCGAGTTCTCGAGTGGATACTCGCAAGTTTACCCGGCAACTTGCGCCTCCACGCGGATCCTCCTCTCGCAGCTTCCACTTGAAGCGATTCGCCGCGACCGACCGGATGAAACGGCTTGTCTTAGCCCGGCGAAACCAATTACCCGAGCGAACGCGACGGCCCTGTTCTTCCGAGGATGTCTCGAGTCAGCCTCGAGCGAGATTTTACGCGCGTCGCGACGTTGGCGACATCCTGGAAAATTGACGATACTCTGTGGAAATTATTTCGGAGCATTCTTCTATTCAGTCTTCTTTTTCTTCTTCCTCTTATGCATTTTTCTTTTCTTCTTCTTCTCACTACTTCTTTTTTTCTTCTTCTCGCTACTTCTTCTTCTTCTTACTTCTACTTTTTCTTCTTCTCCTCACTACACTTCTTTTTCTTTGTCTTCTCACTATTTCCTTTTTTTCTTCTTCACACTACTTCTTTTTCTTTTTTTTCTTCTTCTTCTTATTTCTTCTTTTTCTTCTTCTTCCTTCTTCTGCTTTTCTTTTCCCTTTTCTTTTGTTTCTTCTGTTCCTGTTTATCTTTTTTTTCCTTTTCTACTTTCTTGTTGTTCGTTCTCTTTTTCATCTTTATCACCTTCCTTCTTTTTCTCCTTGTTCCTCCTTCTTCTTTTCTTCTTCCTTCACCTTTTGCTTCATCTTCCTTATTTCTCTATTTCTCCCTCTTCTTCTTTCCTGTTTCTCTATTTTTTCCTCTTTTTCATCCAACTCATTGAAAGCTAATTCTTGTTTTTCATAGTCGGTCTCTAATTTTGAAGTATAATTTTGATAAAATGTATACATTAATTAATGTTCTTTATTCTTTACATTTTTCGTAACATTAGAAGAAACCTTGTTCATACTGTTCACATTCGGTACATACGTGTACCTTATTCTTTTTATTCGACCTATGATCCTTATTCTTCTTTCTTCCTTTATGTTCCTTATTCTTTGCATTCTTCTTATGCTGTTTATTCTTCTTGTTCTTATTATGTACCTCATTTTTCTTAATTTTCTTATGTTCTTTATCCTATCCTCCTTGTTCTTCTTATGTTCCTTATTTTTCGCAATCGTCCTCTGTTCGGTATTTTTTGTATTCTTCTTATGTTCTTTACTCTTCTTGTTCTTCTTAGGTTCCTCATTTTTCTCACTCTTTTTATGTTCTTCTTTCTTCATGTTCTTCTTAACGACGGCCCTGTTCTTCCGAGGATGTCTCGAGTCAGCCTCGAGCGAGATTTTACGCGCGTCGCGACGTTGGCGACATCCTGGAAAATTGACGATACTCTGTGGAAATTATTTCGGAGCATTCTTCTATTCAGTCTTCTTTTTCTTCTTCCTCTTATGCATTTTTCTTTTCTTCTTCTTCTCACTACTTCTTTTTTTCTTCTTCTCGCTACTTCTTCTTCTTCTTACTTCTACTTTTTCTTCTTCTCCTCACTACACTTCTTTTTCTTTGTCTTCTCACTATTTCCTTTTTTTCTTCTTCACACTACTTCTTTTTCTTTTTTTTCTTCTTCTTCTTATTTCTTCTTTTTCTTCTTCTTCCTTCTTCTGCTTTTCTTTTCCCTTTTCTTTTGTTTCTTCTGTTCCTGTTTATCTTTTTTTTCCTTTTCTACTTTCTTGTTGTTCGTTCTCTTTTTCATCTTTATCACCTTCCTTCTTTTTCTCCTTGTTCCTCCTTCTTCTTTTCTTCTTCCTTCACCTTTTGCTTCATCTTCCTTATTTCTCTATTTCTCCCTCTTCTTCTTTCCTGTTTCTCTATTTTTTCCTCTTTTTCATCCAACTCATTGAAAGCTAATTCTTGTTTTTCATAGTCGGTCTCTAATTTTGAAGTATAATTTTGATAAAATGTATACATTAATTAATGTTCTTTATTCTTTACATTTTTCGTAACATTAGAAGAAACCTTGTTCATACTGTTCACATTCGGTACATACGTGTACCTTATTCTTTTTATTCGACCTATGATCCTTATTCTTCTTTCTTCCTTTATGTTCCTTATTCTTTGCATTCTTCTTATGCTGTTTATTCTTCTTGTTCTTATTATGTACCTCATTTTTCTTAATTTTCTTATGTTCTTTATCCTATCCTCCTTGTTCTTCTTATGTTCCTTATTTTTCGCAATCGTCCTCTGTTCGGTATTTTTTGTATTCTTCTTATGTTCTTTACTCTTCTTGTTCTTCTTAGGTTCCTCATTTTTCTCACTCTTTTTATGTTCTTCTTTCTTCATGTTCTTCTTAACTTCCTCATTCTTCTCACTTTTCTTATATTCTTTGCTTTTCTTGTTCTTCTTATAATCCTCATTCTTCTTATGCTTCTTACATCCACAATTCTGCTTATGTTCCTTATTCTTCTCGTTCTTATTGCTCTTTTTTTTGTCCCCATTCTTACTGTTCTTCTGCTTCTTTTCTCGTACTATGTGCTGAATATCTTTCATGTTAAAAATTCATTTTAAAAAATTCATGTTAAAAATTCATACTAAAAAATTCATGTTAAAAATTCATGTTAAAAATTCATGTTAAAAATTCATGTTAAATAATTCATGTTGAAAAATTCAATATTATCTCCATCACTATACATTCATTCACAAAATATCAATGTATCGTGTTAAATCGAACGACAAAAATACATCGCTTTTCGAGTACAAAAGAATAAAAACAAAAGCGCCAGCACCCATAACCAATAATAGCAAGAGTCACGTAACTGAATAGAAACGGCACTGATACATTTCGGATATCTGTAAATAGACTCGAAGAGTGTTCATGCGTTACAAATGTCCATTCTTCACAGCCACAATAAACGGCATAAAAGGATACATGAAAATGTTACCATCCATCGAATATGATCTTAACTGCAATCGGAAATGGAAAAGGTCGGGAACAAGTATCGTCGAAGCCGCGAGCTCATTCCTTTTGTAAGATCGTAAAAGAAGTTTGCGATCGAAGAACCGTCGATCGGCACGGAAGTTGCGCGGAAACTTTTTCGAAACTTTTATCAGAGGAAAAGCTGAGACCACTCGATACTCGTACCAAAGTGGTTACACACTTTCAGGAAGCTATTATCGAAGAGCCGACGACGTCGTCGAACGATTTCGAAGACGAAACCACCGTCACGTTTTCCCTTTTCTCGTGGTTCTTTATTGCATCTACCTTCGTTAACTTCTTCTTCTATTTTTTTTCTTTTTATTGGCCTTGCATTCATGGGACACCTTTTATGTACTCGCCATCTGTGCAACTTTGAAACGTGTGAGAAGATTATTTGTTGCAGCTCGTGGCATATTTTTATCACTTAGGGATATTTCAAAGAAGTTTAGAGTAAAACGGAAATATTTATGAATAAGCAATTTTAAGTTATGTATGCTAAATCCACCATTTTGTATATTAATCCTCAACACTCGAGTTTTCACTGTTGTCACATAACCTAAAAATTTTTTAGTTACGAAGTTTGTTAAATTTACTTAAGTTTATTTCTCCACTTTTAATAGCCACTTAGCATATAATAGCCATTTAGTATGTTTATGCAACATATGATATTATAGATTTAGTTGAACAGTAATTATTTTAAATTGTTTTATTATATTGAATGATGAGGCACCTTTAGAGTGCATGTTAATGTATCAACAGTATCATGGCAGACAATGATTAATACGTTGACTGCCACATTAAGAAGCAGTTGAAAATTTTGTTAAGTAGTATTTTTATTTTTAACAAATTGTACCAAATATTTCCATAATATTTACTATATTTATTATTCATAGCTCCAAGCAGTTGATACAAGTGTTTTCAGTTAGGTAACAAATTTTCGAATAATATTGTTGATAGGTGATGTAGTAGCTAAAGTGTTAATCAAGTTCCAGCAAAATTTCAAATAATAATTAGACTCTAGTTCAAAATAAATCAAGTGTTTATGAATAAGCAATAAATTTAAGTTACTTGTGTATTTACGTATCATGACCTGCAGCTAAATCCACCATCTTGCGTATTAATATATCAACAGTGTGATGAAAGATAGCTATTAATCAAGTTATGCATGTAGTATCAGAACTTCCAACAAAATCCACCATCTTGCGTATTAATATAGTAGTGTGATGAAAGATAGTGATTAATGAAGTTTGAACATTATTTCAAATGATGCTTTAAACGCTAATATTTATAAGCAAATTTAAATTACTTATACATATGCCTTTTCAGCTAATATAATCAATAGATTCTTTAGCCAGAAACTTCCCTACAACAAAACGAACAAAAAGCAAAATTCGATCTGTTGTATTTGAAAGGCGAGACATATAAAGTATGCTTTCAAACTTACGGTTGGCAACGTATTTTGCCTTTCAACTATGTTCTCTTTCCATCACGTCAATCTTTGCTCTCATAGCTACCTCTTGCAATACGAAAGTTTCAATAACGCATCCACGTGCATAGGGTTTGTATTATTGAAGCATTCGTGTAAATCCGGTGTTGCTTTGATCGCGAATGAAAAGCCAAAGGAATATCAACAGGGAATTGAACTTTGTCTAATAAATGGATGCAAACTCAGGAAACAGATCCCTTATTCGTCACTGAATATTTCTATTGCTCTTTTAATTATGTCTCTTATAACTTTATTAACTACTTCAGCTTTTACTTTATTCCTTTAACAGCGAACCCTTTAGGGATCGCGAAGCTGTACTGCTGTGTTCTACTTTGCTGGAGTCTTTTGATCATTACTGTTTTATTTGCGTTTCCTGAATTAACATGAAACCTGCGGGCGTTTTCTACACTAAACACGAAATTAATGAAGTGGAAAAGTAAATAAACACGTGACAAAACGTAGATTAACATTTGGATGAAGATCAACGCAACGAAGATCAACGATTTTGGATGAAGATCGACGATTTTCAAGAAAATCACAATAATAAATTGTTTATAACAAGACTTTCAACATGTAATTTTAACTTGTGAACAGGTCATTTGTCTTTAGTAGTTTCAGCGTCAGAAAGCATAGAACATTTTCCCAAAGGAAAATGTTCACGAATGTGAATGTTATATCATTCATTTTCATTGCGATGAAGATGACATGCATCTATGTATATGACTCTATGTCAAAATCATATGAAGATGATTTGAATTTATTCAAATTTTAAATTTAGTGTTATTCATTTAATTTTATATAACAATCACTTTTTATATTTATTATGCATTTCAAAGTTATAGTGAAACGTTTCATTGTTTTGATGAGAGGTGATAAGCCTTGGTTAGCACATAGGTTAGCATAAATTAACGCTTCTAAAAAAGGGGGCAGCAGACTGCATTGCTTTGAGACATTTTGATTAGGTTGGTATTTGTAGAAAGTATCATTCACATGAAGTTTCTATAAAAAAGGCAATGTTAAGTAAAAAGTGGTAACGTCCAAAAGGATCCAAACTATATTATTGGTCTATTAATTTCTTATATTGCAAGACTTGTCTTCTAACAGGTCCACATTTTCGTGCAAATTAAATATAGACACCATTTCTGTCTATTTTTGCAGCAAACTTGTCCAACGAACGTGTTAAAAGCAGAAATCCAACGGACAGTGTACGCTCTCAAAGCATCGGACACTATCTCGTCAACAATTCAGGGTGAAGAGATCTCCGTAAGCGTAGTTGCAAGTGACAAGCTCGTATAGCCACGTACGCGGTGTTTTCCCAGGTGGTCTGGTGCGTAGTGTACACCTGTCGGACAGGTTCGAGGACACTCCTTAACCTGTCCGAGACAAAAGCAATTAGAGTTGCTTGTCCGTAGAAACTGAAAGGTGACTTCGGGCCAGATTCAACGGCGTAACCAGCAATTTCCCTCTCGTGCCACTTTTCCGACGAAAGCCAGAAGGAGAGCTCTAGACTCCCAGGCTCGATAATGTCTCGGAAAGCTAGTGGGTAATTTGATTGCACCCTAAGATACCGGAACAGGAAGCTGATGGAGTTTCGGAGGAGTTCCTTTACCCTGTCGCACCGTGTCTGCTATCTTCTTCGCTCGTCGCACTTTTATTTCTGTGCCAGTCACTCTTAACTTTAAATCAACTCTTTCGTGTTGATAAATCATCGCGTCGCTTAAATTTTGTTAATCTCGACGGCTCCGATCGAAACTACTTTTGGTAGATAACACCGACTGTGATATGGGCTAGTTTGTAATTTGGGAGATGGAGTGCCTGCTTCCTGGTGAAAAGTTATTCTTACGCGGATATTATAGTATTAATATAAACATTACGGTATTAATATAAGAAAATAATTATAAGAGTATTATATTAAAAAAAATATAGAATACAGTTGATGGTGTTGATGAAGATATTCATGTTGACCACTTGGAAGTATGAATACATATAACAGACCATTATTGATATATTTAGTATTTGTTAGAAATAAAAATATTATCTAATGAAGTTTTCAATTGCTGTGTGGTATTTAGTGTGTTAAAAGATTACAATATTATTTTATTTAATATTCAAATACAAAACCATTCAAATATTTATAACACGTGTATTTACAAATATAACATACGTATGATATACGTTGTGTGAAAATGTATATTTAACACTAACAAACAAATTATATTTACATTACTGCCATAGTTCCACTTTCATTATTATTGCGACAAATACAACAAAAGAAGTAAACATAAGAAACTAAATATTTATCGTACATCATAATTTTCAACATGTAATTCATAACAGCAATACATAAAGCGTGAAATCGATCATCGAAACGCTAATTATCGAGACTTTGAATGTCGAAACTAATGAAAGGTGTCCGAAACGCTTTGAGCAGGTTATTTGTATAATTTGTTTGTCGCAGCCAAGCCCTTGTCGTATCTGTGATCCTTTGAACTCCGGTAAGAATCGATCGAAGCGGCCATTTCCATTCGTTGTGCAGGTGCATTCGAGGAAACGTCGAACACGCGAGAAAATGGCAGAGGAGAGAGGGAAATGGCGTTGCTCGCCACGCTAGAACGAATAAAAGCAAACGGGCCGCTAGGGGAAAATTGATTCCTCCATGCTCAAACGATTTTCCTCCCCTTCGGATTCTTCGTAAACACTTAAACGTCGCGAGTTCCGTGCTGTTTGCCCGCAATGGGCAAACGGAAACGTAATTCCCGTGAATTCAAGAGGGGTTAATAAACGGTTCGATTCTGGAATCGTTTCTTGGCCCTCCTCTAATCCGCTTTTGCCCGTCTTTAATCCCTTCCAGTACGGTTCATTCGATAAATAACTATTCACTGTTGCGATGTTAACACGTTCGCGTCACAGGATGAGAAGTCTCTAGATTTATAGATTTATGGATTTACAGACTTACAGATTTATAGACTTATGGATTTTTAGGTTTATAGGTTTATAGATTTATAGATTTATGGATTTTTAGGTTTATAGGTTTATGAATTTTTTAAACGTTTAGAATTCTAAATTCTAAATACAAAAATTTTTGAA